CATGTCGAGTTCATGGTCATTGTTAAGGTTTCCATCCCAGTTTCAAGAGATGTAGGAATCGATTCTTATCATCTGCTTTTGTGGCAAATAAGTTAGGCACGTCGCATCTGTGAGAAAATTATAATGGTATGCAAGCACTAATATGACCCACTTGTTTAATGGACTCGATATGTTTACCCATTAGTAAAAAGGGTTGAAAATTTCCACCACTAGCAATGTCGATCGGGCCCTCTAGGAGCTTGATTTGAATAATGTAGCAACAAATCAATATTGAGTAAGAAATAAGAGTGTAAGTTGTACAAGTACAACAAAATTGGGTCACTATATTGCAAAAGTATCACCTGGCCTTCAATTTCTACAAGTAAAACCTGTTGCACTTGTGGGGACTCCATACTAGTAATGCCAAATTCAAGTATCATCCTCTGTCAACTATTAAATGTTCTTTGCCTACCTTACTTAATCTTAACTGTAGTATACTCCCATTTTTCGAGTATCCGATGTTGCATCTTAAACATGTTATGTTGAACCAAAAAATTCTTGTAATGCAAGTTTACCTACTACTAGTCAAATCTCAAATCATACGGGTTTACGTTAGAGCCATATGTATGTATGTGCTTTTCGCCTTTCCAAAAACACATACCATACATGAATTTGATCATATTTATTTCACTTATAGATTGATGTTTCAATTAAGTACAGTCTAGACACGTTATGCAGTTATGCTCGATAAGTTTAGTCTAAACATGTAAATATAATCACATAGTAGATTATATGGTTTTCCTCAATCCTCACGAGAGAAACATCTATTTAAGACATGCAATGTCACTAATTGAGTAATAATTTAAGTACGCGATGAGCTTTTCGAAAAACACCTTTAGCTAGTCTTTCTTTTGGATTGATCGGGAGGAACAAGAACATACTCAACTTCATCAGAAGACGTGCCTAAATATAGGTTTTTTTTTTTTTTTTTTTTATTTACAACCAACATAAAGTTTGTTACCATTCCTGGGTTATAAAGAAAGAAAGAAAGAGCCCAAAACATGAATAATTGCCAACCGCACAAATATTTGAACCAAGAGAGGTGCATAGGTCCCAAACACTGATCTAAGCATAACTAAATTATTTCCACCCATAATTTGCTTTATTATAAGTCAAAAAAGTTGCAACTTTATGTGCTGAAATCGAGCTCATCAGCTCAACCTTTTCTTCTTTTTTATTTTTTAAGGGTTTCTTTAGTTAGTCGAGTTTCTTTTATTTGATTTATCATTAATGGGAGTCGTATTTAATTTGGCTACATTACATATTATAACAAGTAATTTAATTAGGACAAACTATAGAGGAGAAAGGCCCATGTTTTAGAGAAGGTTAATCATATGGATTCCGTAGCAAATGATATTATAGTCAAACCGGTCTAACAATTATTAAGAGAAATCTAAATCAAACCCGATCAGTAGATAGAGTAGTCTAAAAAATACATATTTGGATGACTTTTTATAATTTTATGATTAAATCATTTAACACTTTTTTTTTCTTACAATAAACTTGATAATGAGTATATCTAACAGAGTTGATCCATATTTGATTACCAAACCCGAATACCCAGCCTGAAATCCAAGTTTCACCTTGAATCATTGTTTCGCCCTGATTCATATCTAACATGCTGGTCCGACCTATTAATTTATTTAAATAAGCACATTGTTAATAAACCTGTAAATGACCTGGCCTAACCCTAAAGTTTTATTCAAAATTGACTTTACCCGGACCTGTCCAAGTGATCCAATTACGACCTCTAATCATGACTCGAAATCGATCAGAAACCAAACCTGAACCCCATCCGCTCACATTTACACATTCTCTCCAATCTTCTACGCCATAGACAAGGGGTGAAAATGGAGGTCCAAGAATAAAACACCATAGACAAGAATCTGACAAAATGCAGGCTGAGAAAAAAGAGGAAAATAAAACAAGTAAATAAGCATGGAAAAGCCAAGCATGAGTAAGACAAGGGTTAGAGAAATCGAGATGTCATTGTTTATGTTTAGTACACACTACCAAGTCGTTGGTCTCAAGTAGCTTTGCTTTTTACGCACTCCTTTTTAGCCCAATTAACCTATGTTTTGCCGGCTTCTTTTTTTTATAGCTCGAATATTTAGCTCATTCTTGCCATTTCTTAGGGGGGAAAATATACCTTTTTCAGACATTTGGTGAATGATGGTTCAATCAACCCAAGAAAAAATAAATAAATTTACTTTAAGGAGGATGTCTTTGTTTTATGATTATTACTTAAAATACTAATATTATATTACTTTAATCGCAAAGTCATATATAGAACGGTTTTATAGAGAATTTTTCGTGAAAGACAAATATTAGATGATTTCAGCCACCAAATAAGTCTCTTACGTATGGGAAGCATCTCGATGCCTAATCTTATTGAGTTTCGAAATATTTATTATAGGCGAAATTAAAGTTGTTATAATACAGTAATACACTATATCAAACCTTTTTGGAGCTTTTATTTAGATTCTCAAGATTGATGTCAAAAATTCAAGTAATGATAGAGAATGTATTTTAAGATCGTCAAAATTTATTTGAATTCATATACACTCATTAATTGGTCACATAAATGTCTAAAATGATCTTGAATCAATAACGAAAGGCGCATTCATACTTCATAGCCAACTAGTTAAAAGGCAAACTAGATATATAATTCCAACCTCTGAAGTGACATTCTAGAGTCTCTAATTTATGAGAAACACATCAACCTCTAAGAAAGTCACTTGGTTATGAAAGCCTTTTGTTATGAAACATTAAGTACCATATGAAATGTTACATGCACTTACTATTATGTGTAACACTCATACTAGTACATCAAAATATAATTACCTACACATATTATTTCATTGGGTGCTACGGTCGATCTGCATATTTATATTCACCCGCATATTTCAATTCACCATACGATTACAAATCAATTGCTAAATCACCTATGTTTTAATTTGCTCAATTCATTTACTCATTTGGTGTGTGATAGATTACATTATTCAAATTAAAACTCTAATTAGTAATACATAACATTACCTAGCTAATATACTAACTTAGCTCTTACTTCGTGGAGGAAATTTTATTAGATGCTCAAAGGTCATATATGTCAGAAGCTTTTGTCAACCAAATAGCCAATATTTTGTCTTAGCCTGGGCAATCGCCATCAAATAAGACAAGGTCAAAAGGACCACCTGCGCATTTGTCCAACACAAGCCAAGCACCGACGTACTCCTTTTGCATTGCTCCTTAGCTTGAATAATTAGCATGCAATTAAAGATGACAACACCATGAATATGATATTGATTGTGATGTGAATAAATTTTTTGACTTAGACATTATATTGGTCTTTGTATGATATGTGAAATTGATCGAATTGGACATATAAATGGTATAATGAATTGGACATTTTAAGCAAGATCAGGACACTACATTGGCATGGATACTCTATGGTATGTATATTCCTCTATAGCTCATATCAATCATTTTCAGCTTGTAGTTGAACCGTTTATTTTAAACACGTGTATCAAAAATTGTGTTAATACTTGAGATCTGTTGGAATGCATGTATGTATAATGTAAAGGACTTTAGTAGACATTATATCTTGTTTTTAGTTCATTATATTGTCTATACGGTAACATCGTAACAAACTAATCTGCAATAAGACTAATAACTATTGCATGGGAGTATGAGACATTTGAACAATACAAAGATCGATTAATTTCAGCAAATTAATTATAAATTATTGTTATGTACATCCAATTGGACATATAAATGGTATAAGGAATTGAACATTTTAAGCAAGATCAGGACACTTCATTGGCATGGATACTCTATGGTATGTATATCTCACTATAGCTCATATCAATCATTTTCGCCTTGTAGCTAGTTGAACCGTTTATTATAAATACGTGTATAAAAAATTATGTTAATACTTGAGATCTGTTAGAATGCATGTATGTAATAATGAAAAGGACTTTAGTAGACATTATATCTTGAGCTAATATTGTTTGTACGGTAGCATAGTAACAAACTAATCCGTGATAAGACTAATAATTATCGCAGTGAGACATTTGAACAATACAAAGAATTATGTTGAAAGTTAGTTTAGTGCGTAAACTAAAAATTACAACTAATATTTAACGGACGTAGTAAAAACATTGGCCCATGCAGGGGTCGAACCTGCGACCTTGGCGTTATTAGCACCACGCTCTAACCAACTGAGCTAATGGGCCTTCTTGTATAACAAGGCCGATGAAACATTTAAATATTAATCGCTTTTTTTATATTTCTTACACATATTCATAAATACGTTCCAAATGGGAATAATAATTTGGATAAAAATTTTGATTCCATAATTAAAAATCAACATACAACGTACGAGTATGTAAAGAAAAATTATATAAATGCAAATAATTTGTAAATAATTTTCTAAAGGACAAAATTGATAAATGAGCAAATTAAAAAGGATTGAAATAATTTTGCCTCTTTGATGACTTGAGTGTTTGACATGAGTCACATAACCTATTATTGCTGAGTTTCATGTATATTGAGATTTAAGATTTGGCCTTTGTAATATGCTTTAAGTTAGTCTACATTTAACGAAATTTAATGTTAATTTTTTTCTTACGCTCTTTCTCAACAAGGTTGACTCATGCTCTTATTTATATGGTTCTTTTTGTATGGCATAATCTTTCAATTATGATGACGAAAATTACTAAAATCAACTAGTATTCGACCTTTAACATTACCCTTTGATTCTTAGCTGCGTGTTTGATGCTAGATTGCAAGATGTTAGTTAGGCTATTGATCTTGGTTATGGCTTAAAGCAACTCACAGTACAAATGTACTAATGGCTTTCAACAGCCACTCGATAATTCGTCTTAATATTCGACAAAACACTTCACACCTCTTTTACCATTAATCAAGCATGGTACAGAACAAGCAACAACACCAAAGAATTAAAGCAAAGAGAAAGAATGCAAAATCTTATTATCAAGTAATGTCAGCCCTAGAAGTTCTTCAAGAACCCTGTCTTACAAAATGTGTTACATATTAAACTTTGTTTTCATTTTTTTTTTTTTTTTTTTTGGTTCTTTTTGTTGTATAGTAATCAATCTCAACATACTCGACTAATAAATAGACTTCTTAGCAAACAAAAGAATGAACCAAAAACCGACTTACATATCATTGTTATCTATGTTTCACCCCACAGGTGAGCTTGGAGTCGAGGAAGTTATAATCGGTTTCCCTCGTCCCATAGTGAAGCCTCTAGTGCCATCAGGCATTCGCGGTCCCTTGTTGATTAGCTTCGTTCTTAATGTATCACATCGCGAGACACCAATTGAATGTATAGGTGAAGAAAGCAAGCCACGATCATTTAGACTTTGAACAGCTCGTCCTTTGGTTTTAGCACGCCCACGTGGTGATGCCAATTTTTTTGGGACACCAGAACTTTCTTCACCCTGCTATCAGAGTATGTAACTAACCATCATGTAATGTAAAAATTACTCGAAATTCTATATAAGACAGTATTTACCGTGTCTTGTTAGGTTCTGTTCTCTTCGGCTTATTTAAATAAGTTTTAATTAGCAGATATAAGCAATTTTTAACCAAAATAAGTTCAGTTCAACATAAATAAACTGAGAACAGAACATTACAGAACCTCAGTTGTTTAATTGTCGCGTACTTATGATGTCCTTATCAATATCTATTACTAGTAGAGGAATATTGCATTATTATTACTTACAAGACTGTTATCTTTAACCAATTCTGAACCATTTGGTTGGGAGATTTCTTTAGGCGATTCACCATGTGTCGATTCATCATCATCAGTAAGCAAATCAAAGTCCGACTTTCTGGTCTTCAGGATAGATTTTGGCTGCAATTTCAAGTTCAGAGATTGTATAGTAAGATATACTTATAACATGATATATCTAAACATCTGCAAGATTTTGAAAGTAAATAATAGTGTGCTGAAGCTATTGATCAGCATACATACCGTGCGTCGTTGCATGACCCTAACTCGCAGTCCTTTTCTCCAATCTCTCTCGTCATTCAACTTTTCAGCCTAGAGGTGTGCATCAAAATTTTAGTATATGAGGCAGAATGAAATAGGCTGTTACATACACTATAAAGTATAAACATGTACCGCTTTTTCTGCAAATTCGGCATTCTCATACTCGACAAGTGCATGAAGCTGTCATTACAAACACAAAAGTCATATATTTAGCCATCCTCATAGATCAATAATCTCTTGAATTAAGCGTGTTTAGCTAAGTATTTCTCTACCTTGTTACTGATGATAGCTTCATTTTTGGACCGAGAAGGATTAGCTTCCGGGGGATGGCATAGCCTGATGGCCTTCACACTGTTTAAGCAAAAATTGAAGTACCATTATGTATGTACAAGTACTAGACATGCACTAATTAGAAGACTATACCAATAAAAATGCAGCAAGATACGCAGATAGCTAGGAACTAACCTGCCAACTACACTAAATATTTTCTCAAGGTTCTGGTATGAATGATCATCAGGCAAATTCTCAACCATTACAGTACGACACTGCAAAAATAAACCCCGAATCATAAATTTCATCCACCATAGGGTATACATTCACTACGTAACTACAAAGTTTCTCGTATCCTTTGTTAATCAGAGCTAAGATTCCAAAAACAGAACTGCTAAAATAGGAATAATCATATTTATAGTGGAAACATAGACGGACTCCTAATGAGCATGAATTATATGTCGAATTAATCGTTCAAATTCGATGCAGCTATACACAATCATATATCTAAAGGAAGAAATATACAGTTAGTACCTGGAGCTCATCTCTGTAACTTTCTGTAAAGGGACTCCTTCTTTTGACCTTCTTGTTTTCCTTACTTACAACCTTAGATAAGTTGCCATATTAATAAACACCCAACCCAAAAATCATCAGTACATAAACAAAATCAAAGAATTACTTAAAAAATTATCTTCTACAGTAGATTTTCTCAGGCTATTTACATTAGAACAGAACATGCACATGCTAAGTAGGAGTGAGTAATGAGAGATTAGGACTAACAAGTTTCGTAGATGAGCGAAGTGCTTGGACGAGCATTTGGTGGTCAGTAACAAGGGCTTTAATCTTCTTCATAGATGCAATGACAGGAATAGGAACTATACAATATGTAACACATGAATGACACTTACAGTAAGAATTTGCCTTTTCTTAGGAAAAAAACAGGACTAATTTTGTAATGTTGGTGCTTACCATAACCTTCAGGATCTTTGCTTACATGTTTTGCCATTGTATCATTTGCCATCAAACTCAGATCACTGAATAGGTATTCTACCTGCCACATTAAAATAAAAACATGAATCGTCGATCATGCTTTCTTTCGAGTCCCAATCGATGTTACCACAACAGTGCAAGTGAACCGGCGAATAGCCAAATCTAGTAATGTGGTGCAATTTAACCACATATGTTTATGCCTTCAGCCTTGTAACTCACCACAAATTTCAGTACAGTAAGGAAAACAACACTATCATTTCCGCAGGAGTTTATAAATATTACAATCAGAGATATAACTAGGCAAAAAAAAAATTGCATTTAGGATGTACCGAGTTTATTAAACATATCAATACACTATTTTTTCTTTATACTTGTATTAAATATCAACATTCGGAGTACTAAACTTGTAAGTTTTAAATATCATGCAATAGATTCATCGATATTCCGCTTCTTAAAAAACTTATGCATAATCTTAAACAATCCTATCGCCAAATGCAACATTAATGCAGAGATTAGTTTTCATGAAGAATCAAAACCACTAAAATCAGCTCTCCACCCTAAATGTACATACATAGCTCACAAATCACAATCACGTTTTACTTCTTATGTACAAATTGTTACATGTTTGTCCCTAACAATGAATAAATAACAAGATTGTACGAGAAACAAAAACACAACACTCGTCATATAAATTGAACCAATGTAGATGATCAAACATAAATTAAAACATGATGTAAACATTCAAAGGAAGGACTTGTTAAAAACGTTACAAAATTAATTCTAACCTGTTTGACGATCTTTTGATGCAGATCATCATTGAGGGAGTTCGACCGGGACAAGCTAGATTGAGACTGGGAAGTTGGAGAATCGGAGAAGTTGGACGGGTGTACCGGACTCAAATCGTTACCATTATTGCTGTTGTTATTGTTATTATTATTATTATTAGTGTTACTATTATTATTACGAGGGGAAGGAGGGGGCGAAGGACTAACATAGTACCAATCGGTAGACGGGGTTCCCATAACATGATCCCCGTCTTGCAAAAATTGCACACACGGGTAGAAGTACCCCGTCGATAACATTTGATGATTGCCATAACTACTACTAGTAGTGTATGACCTTGGCACAAATTCCGACGCTTGCGCATTGAACTTGAACCCCCCCCCTCCTCCTCCACCACGTCCGTTATCTTTGTTACTATCACTACTAATACTAATACTTCCTCCGCCACTTTTTATGTCTTTTTCCGGACTCCTCTTCATTTGCTCTTGTGCCATTCTAACTTTTTTTTGTGTTATTAAAGGGCTTTTTTCTCTAATTCCTAATGAATGATCAGATAATGCACGTACAAAAATTTGTTAGGTATTTTTACTCTAACATATTTCCGTGCTCTTGATCTTAACTATTGTTGCGAGGGAGTAATAGTTCGGGACCATATAATTATTTTTTTGTCGATCAAGAAGGAGTGGTGGTAACATCCGGATGCCCATAAGTTTAGTAACAGTAAATTCGACATTTCATCCACGTCTGTAGTCCGATTTATAAGCATCTGTCATCTATTAGTTCCCTTACATTCTTTGTGTGTTTTCCTCGCACACAAGCCCCCGTAACTCTTGCCTAATGAGTATTTTGACCACTCATTTTCAACCTTCTATTTTTCATTTTCATTATTGCTAATTTTTATCAAAAAATTCCACTAATAAAACCAATTTCGATCACTCCAAATATATAAAGATACAAAAGCAAATCCTTGACTATTGACAATATTACAATTTTCTACTCGTAATAAACGTTAAGACTTTTTTTGTGTTTCAGAACTTTTTCTCACCTATTAACGAAGGCAAAGTTTTAATAATTTGACAAATTTTTTTAATGATGAATTAGAAAAACTAATTTTTATCTGAATTTTTGTGAGATTCCGTTATATTGTAATATGAAATGTTATTAACATAAACTCATAGAGCTAAACATGTAGACAAATATAGACTTTTAATTAGATCCATACATTGGAGACACAAGTAGTGTATCAAATCCAATTGAAAAGAATTTTATAGATGATGGGAAGGTTGAAAAAAAAAAATGATTAAGTCGTTGAGAAATTTCTCATAGAGCTTATGATTTTATGTTGATTAAATTAGAAAAAATTAAGTACATCACACGTGTCAAGTACTCTCAAGTGGCAAGTACACCAAGTCACCAATCCATATATTTGTGTGTATATCCAATATGATATAATGAATTTAGTTGATTGATTTGCCTAAGGGCTAAGGTTTTAAACTTTTTTTTTTTTTTTGAGTTTGTCCCACCCTATTCACCGTGAGTCTTCTAACAAGAGTTTTTTGTATTTGGTGAGATTCAAACTCGAGACCTCCCTTAAGGGGTTTCAAACTGCTCACCACTTGAACCAACTCTTATTGGTTTAGCATGGGTATATATTTTAGAAATTTGGTGATTTAAAACGGGGAGATCCTATATGTTTAGTAGACATATCCGCTTGATTGGATGTGTATTTGATTGTAGATCTAAGACCATCAATTAACTAATTGTATTTGTCTACGTATATATTCTTTTTGAAGAAAAATATATACTTACTTTGATTTCAATGGCTATGATTTAATCAAAAGTTTCGAATGCAATCACCTCTACAAAATATATCTTTGAGACATTACAAGATGACTATAATCCTACGCATGTTATATGACTTATATCCATCCACTTGTAGTCTTGTACTATATACAAATTTTTGTCACGCTAGTATAGTAACATATACTATGCTAACCAATTAAGATTTGTGAAGATGGTGGGCCTAGGGACTCAATTTGTGAATTTGAAATTACAAGTTCAAGCCTTATCATTTACATATGTTTAGACGTAGAAATTCCGTTATTTTCATTTCATATTGGTTCATCAGTAGGATACATCTCATTTCATATGAAACATAAAACATTAAAACTAGAAGATCATAGATTCATAGGCAAAGAACATAACGGAATGGGCCAATTGATAAACTCATAATAATGTAATGAGTTTATGAGTCCAACTACCTGAAATCTTAGTGAACAATTCATTCATTGTATTATTAATAGAAAACCCATGACTAAATAAAATCGTAATTGCAGGAAAAATCAATTTGAGAAGTAGTGATTATAAATTCCATCATTTTCATTCACATGTTTCACTCTATGAATTATTGTATTAATGGCCCCTTATTATCTTATATATTTGTGGGGTCATTGTATCTTGTCTCAAAGATTCTCCAACCTCCTCCTACCCATCATTAAGCTTTGTGAGAGTGATTGGTTTGTCTTGCATGATTCATTCTTACCGTTTTATATCTCTAGTTAGGTGTAGTAACTATTATAATTACGTATACTATTAAAGAATTGACAAAGTTGTTAAAACTCTGCAACGTTTCTTGATTAGATTTCCGTACATATCTCTACGTAACCTTAGTGATAGGGCCGGGAGGGGATTGGATATTTATAAATACACAATAATCATGGAGTATTTATTACGGAGCACGAATTATAATGAGTTTTTCTGTATAATTATGTCATATTCATCACGATTTGAGATGCTGATATGTTATGTAACTAACACCAATAAACGGAATAGGTTTGTACAATTAATTAGGAGTCTTGTAGGCTGTAACTTTATAAGGAATTGATGAGAGAAAAGTCCACAAACTTAGCTCAAGTGAAGTTTCACCTTCAATTAGTTGGCTCGGCAATGAAAGGAGTAGCCAATTTGGTTCAAACTAAAAGTTACTATCTCCAAATTCAATATGAAATAGCACACTCGATCACATCTATATTCTAATTGTATCTGATCGTGATTCTAAGAATTGAACAAGGAACTTAGAGGTTTAAACTTATAACATACTGAAATATTACCAATTGAATTAAGATACGTAAAAATACATCATATAGCTTAAGCCTATGAGTGATTTATTTGCATAATTAGGATAGAAGCATCACAAATTAATTATCAAGTGTTGATTCATGAAACATCCCCCGGATGCTCTTAGGTAGACAATGATGTTACTTGTCAATTACTTTATAAAATAATAATGCCTTTTAAGACATGCTTTTTCATTCCTCTTCTTTACGTGTAGCTTTTATGATGGATTGATGGATGATTTATTTTCTATGAGATCTATTAAATATCATTAAAATGTATAATAGTCAAAATGAGATTGCTTTGTCTTGGTGGTATATTGGTGTCATAACGTAAACTTCTTATTCAAAATTTAGTATATTATACACTTTAATATAATCAAATTATTATGGCCTCCATTGCTCCACACAATAGGCTAAAAAAATAAAAATAAAATTATATTTAGATCCATTTTTAAAAATTTCATAAGTTTAGAATTTTTCTCTTATCCTTCGGCTAATTATTCAAAAGAATGTCTTGAACTCCATAGTAAGGAGATTTAAAATTTTCATAGTGAATGATAACATTAGTGCTTAATTCAAATTTTGTTTCAATTATTATAAGGGTATTTTGATTTTTACCACCTTCAAATAACCAAATAATTGAATTTACCACCTCCAAAAAAAAAAGATTTACTTTACCACCACCAAAATTTCCAAAAAATCGATTTTACCACCAACTACCAGATTCCGTCCATGAATCCGTTAGTAGGGCCCACATTTTTGACGTTTCTTCTTCATCTTCCCCGATCTTCCATGTCAACCAACCAGCAACGAAATCAACTACCTCGGTTGGTCGGAATTTCGTGTGGGTTTCGCGTCTGGGTGGTGGTGGTTTCGAGTCGCGATGGTTTCGCGTCTGGCTGGCGTGGTTTCTGGTGGGTGGTGGTGGTTTTGAGTCGGGGTGGTTTCGCGTCTGGGTGGCGGTTGTTTCTGGTCTGGGTTTGGATGGTGGTGGGGTTGGTCGTAGCTGTTAGGTGGTGGCTAGGGTTTTGAGGTCGGAAATTGGTGGAAAGGGGTAGAAATCGGTGCGGCTGTGGTGTGCGGTGCGGTGGTAGCGATTAGGTGGTGGGTTGGTCGTAGCTATTAGGTGTTGACTAGGGTTTTGAGGTCGGAAATTGGTGGAAAGGGGGTCGAAATCGGCGCGGCTGTGGTGTGCGGTGCGGTGGTAGTGGTTAGGTGGTGGGTTGGTCGTAGCTATTAGGTGTTGACTAGGGTTTTGAGGTCGGAAATTGGTGGAAAGGGGGTCGAAATCGGCGCGGCTGTGGTGTGCGGTGCGGTGGTAGCGGTTAGGTGGTGGGGTTGGTCGTAGCTGTTAAGTGGTGGCTAGGGTTTTGAGGTCGAAATCGGTGTGGTGGCTGTGGGTCCCGACGGTGGCTGGTAGCGGTTAGGTGGTGGGGGCTGGTTGTAACGGTTAGGTGGTGGGGCTGGTTGTAGCCGGTCCGGCGGTGGGGGTCCCGACGGTGGCAGCAACCATCGGTTGCTTGATGGGGATTTTTTATTTTTTATTTTGTTTTTTTTATTTTTTTTTTTAAAACTTAACCAATAATATGGCGACACGTGTGCAAGGTAGGCCCCACTAACGGATTTTTGGACGGAATCCGTTAGTTGGAGGTGATTGGTGGTAAAACTGATGTTTAATTTTTTTATGAGGTGGTAAAGTAAATCTTTTTTTTTTTGGAGGTGGTAAATTCAATTATTTGGTTATTTGAAGGTGGTAAAAATCAAAATACCCTTATTATAAATATGATTTATATAAAAATGGTATAAAAAGTTTTTAGAGATGGTTCAAAATTATAAATGTGATTATACGGTTCATAATTTTATGTAATGTACGAGTAGTAGCAAATTATAATTATAAATATAATTTAGAAACGGTTCAAATTTTCATAATGTAGTAGTCAATTACAATTATAAATATGATTTAACTTAGAAATGATTTAAAATTTCATAATGTAGGGATGAATGAATCTATAACTATTTAATTAATACTTCGTAGTATCTTATTGAGGAAAAACTTTTTTAGAGAAAGCAACTATGGAAATTAAAAACACAACCTTCCAATACAAGTTAATTAAACTTGTATGCATCATGGGGTTGGTGGCTATTCTAAAGGTATAGAGAATCCGATCCACTCAACGCAAATTTCAGCCCTCCAACACAAGGAAGGAATTTAGCATATTGACTAACTAGACTTTCTAAATTCTAACTGCCTTTGAACAAAATATGCTAGTTTCTTGTGCGTAGAGATGTTAAAAGTTGACCCGATTTGAAATATCAACTCAAATCCGATTATCAACCGACTTGTTTGAATCCGAAAAAATGGTGACCCGACTTGAAATCAACCCTATACCCGAGTTAACCCGGGTATTTGAGACCCGAATCCGAACATGAATTGACCTGAAGATAACCCGACCTGAATATGACCCGTAAATTATTGACCTGAACCAAGATTGACCCAAACCCTATTTAATCCATCAAAACCCAAATTTAACCCGACCTATTACTAACCCGACCTGTTACTAAATCGACCCAAAGTTAACTCGGCCTATTACTAACCTGTCGAATTTTACCCGACCTATTACTAACCCGACCCAAAATTCAACTCGATTTGTTACTAACCCGACCTGAAATCAACACGACTTGTTATTGACCCGACCCAAATTCAACCCAAATTGTTTT